GCTCTTTCACATCCTTGCTGCAGGATGAGACAGCTCCACACTGAGCCCTGCAAGTTGGGGCCCTGCAGCCTGGTCCTTACCAACTGCCCAACCAACTCTGCATGTTAGCTGCCAATGTGGAAATAAAGTAAAACTCACATTGTCCCGTACACACCCTTCTTGTTTAACAACATTCCTTAAAAACTGAACTTCTGATAAGGAGAAATTACAGGAAAATCAGCCATCCAGCAAGCTTCTTGCAAGAGAGACATGGGAGTGTGGGGCCTTCAGAAGAGCTTGGTAAGAAACCACACTGCTTTTCTTTGCCCGGTTTAGCCATTAGAAGAGAAAATGGTCATAACTGTGTAATTCCAAATGACAGAAAACCTGAAAGGTACAAATAAAAGCAAGATTCCTTTCAGACAAGAGGAAAAAAAGAAGCAGATCAAATCAACACGTGCACAAACACACACAAAGTCAAGCCCTCCATTTGCTGTACAGGACTGTGAGCACAGTTGCCTGGGTGAAGACAAGTGTCAGTAAGTTAGCTAACATCAGCTATTGCAAAAGGAGAAGTCAAGGCAGCACAGATCTTCCCAAAACATTTAAGACCTCATAAACAATGCAGAATGGACAGAGAGTATATTGGTAAAATTGGTTACTTGCCCATAGATGTCCATACATGCGACTATACATTGGTTATTGCAACAGTTACCAAGCGATTTGCTTCCACATATTTGGTTAACAATGAATGACATGCCAGAAACTTCTTTTAGTCTAACAGGGATGAATCTAACGGACGAATTACAGTGGGTCGAGTAGGTGAAGGGGGTGGTCTTCGACTGGAGAGAAAGAGAGAAGAAACAATAAGCACAAACACTGAGAACAAACCTGGCACCTCTTGCTGTCCCTACACAAACATGCACATGCTCCTAAACACAACCACCTTATTTCCACGTACACTGAAGCACGGCAGCCCTAAGCATCCACAATAAGGAAGTGATGGGTTTGCTACATGCGTACCATGCCTTAGCCTTCTCACGCATCTCTCTGGTCCACAGCCTGAGTATTCTCTGAACACAGTTACCTTCTTGTGCCATGGAAACCATCATCCTGTTTTCTCAGGGGTCAGTCCCAGCCAGAATAGCCACAGAGTGGACTTACAGGCATGTTTCAAAGTGGTCAGCTGGATTCGGGAAGACAGCCTGTAGCAACTTCAGCCACTGGTTGCAGAAGCAGAAAAACCTGCAGCTTCTTGCACAGTTGGGCCAACTGGAGCCACGACAATGTGCTTGAATTTGAGGCACAAATGTCAAGCTTTACATCAATAGCCAGTTGTGAAAATGCTAGCTGTGGCTATGGCTTCTGGATCCACTAATTTACCACTAATGCATTCCTCTATCAACCTCAGTAACTGCTAAGGGAGTCCAAGATTTCTTGGGAGGGCTGAAGGGTCTTTATTCCCCTATTTCAAATGGTTGATTCAGCACAGGCTTCTGTGTGCTGCAAACCCCTGCATTTCAATTTGGGCTGTATCATCATCTGATAAGAGACCACAGTGAAAGAATTAGCAGCAGTACAATCCCTGAGCACGTTCCACCTGGGGTAGGCAGTGAGTTTAGACAGATTCTCTTTGGTAGCTGCCTAATTGCCTTTTATATTTTCACCTGTATTTAGGATACACGGTTCATATCAGTGCTGTGTGGAGATAACTCCATCAGCTTAGTTACAAAGAGTATTTTGTCAATACTCCATTGCCCTTGGGCTAAAACACGCCACTGCTGAGCGAAGCCTGGGCAGAATCTGAGAGCACAATACCTGCGTGGCCTCCAGTGCCTGCAGGAGCTCAGACAGTTCTGCCCAGCACTGCAGTGTGCTGTTCATACATACCTAAAAGACCATTTCTCAGAGCCAGCCTGCTCCCTTAGCTCGCTATCCAGCACCCTCCAGCAGGATTGTGTTGCTGCAATTATTCCATCTCTTACACAGTGTATTTGCTCCCCATTTTCTTTAATGGGAAGTACCAGCTCTCTTTATTCCTTAACCCAGCCCAGATCACCACAACAGCATATGGCTGCTCTGAGAGAGGCATGAACCTGGGGTCTGAGGACCACAGGGAGCCGAGGGCTCTGCAGTTCCCATCCAGCTTCAGCAGACTTCATTAATGGCCAAGACAAACCCTACAGCCCTCTCTAACGCTGTCCTCCACCTGCCAAAGCAGGAACAGTTCCTGTCTCTGAAGAAGATTACAAAGGAAACGTGTCTCACTCCCTTAAAGCTAAATAGAAGATGAAAAGAATGTAACAATGTGTTAATCTTCTTTGAACTGGAACATAATATATGAGACAAATTTACACTTGACAAAAAAAGTCTTGCCTGGCTCCAAGGGCATCTTGTACGACAATATTCTCTTTTGGTGAAGAAACGAGAATTTTAATCCCTAACATGCAACAAATACAAAATATGCCAACTGAAGCATTCAAGTAAATCAACAAGCTAAAAAAATAGGCAAAATATAATTTCTTCATGGTGTATTTTTGTTACAGAAAAAAAAGTTACTGTGTTAACTATTGTTTCTTGTGTTGCTCCAGTGTAGGTCTTTTGGACCCATTTCCAAAATTTGTAGTTTCATAAAGAACCACTTCTAAGGCTCTGCATTTCTGCTGGGTTGCATTAAATTATTCCTTTGTTGAAATGCTTCACATTGCATTGTTTAGCGCTTACTTAAAACATCGTATCATGTGTATACAATTTACAAACAAGGGAAAATGCATACAGCTGTCTTCATATCAGATTTAAAAGATACAAGGCCAAGCATGCATTTTAATACCAGGTTGAATGCAGCAGGCTGGATTAAAATAATGTAATTTAGTCCAATTGCTATTTTGCCCAGCAGGATCAGAAACTGGAGTGCGCAGTGGGAGGGTTTCCTGGGTATAATTCAGTCAAACCAAACCTGAACCAAAATCAGGTTTCAGCCCCATTTTCTCCTTGAACCAGAGCTGTTAGTGCACCTTGACCATAATTTTTAATTTTCATTCAAACCCACTCCAGCCCTGAACAGAGAAATACCCCAGCAAGCTCTCCTTTCCACTTCAGAGTACCACTTCAAGGAGCAGCTGACAGCCCCAAGGGGCCCTCTCCGAGGAGGAGCCGGTGCCACCCCCAGCCTCTCCCCTCGCCCCACATGCTGGGCAGAGCCGTGCCAGCCTTGCTGCCCCGCGGCACTGCCTGACCAGCAGCTCTGCTCAGCCAGGGACCCTCGGCCTTGCTCTCCCCCACCACTTCACACTATGAACACCTCCCAGTGGAGACACACGCCTGTCTCCGGCATGCTCTGCATACATACCCTTGCGTGTGTCTTCCCAACGAGTACAGGCGGGGATGTAAGTGAGGAACAGGCAGATCTCTCCTCAGCTCCAGCCCCTCTCCTCTGCCCCTGCGATGGTGCTGCTTTGCTCCCCTGCAGTTTCATGGGGCTTCCTTCCAGCTCCTCAACCATGATTAGGGGAGTGGGAACTGCACCCCAGAAATCAGAGGTGCCTTCCAGAGGAGTGTCAGATGTTTGGGAAAAGGCAGCACTTGGGAAAAGACCTGCAAAAACACCTCTAGTCCCACCACTGACAGTCTCCTGGGCAGTCTCTGGTTCCCTGTGCCGGTAACGCAGGAAGAGGGGCTGTGCTGCAAAGTCCAGGGGCAGAGCACAGCACAGGGGTTCAGCTCGGGGAAGAGACCTCAGCTTCATTAGCCACCAGCACACAGTTAACATGAGCTGAAGCTCAAATCAAAGTGAGGGAAACGACAAGCCCAGAAATTGCCCGTCACTAGATTTCCCTGTCAAGGTGACAAGTCATTACGTGACAATTTTTACACTGGGAGTAGGAGTCAGATCTTTTTTTTCCCCAGAAGAAGCAGCCAACCTGCAGGTCTCTTGCCCCTCCACCTCCTTTACGCCTGGAGCAGTGGCTGGAAGTGCAAGTGCCCCCCGGGGTGGAGGGTGCAGGGGTCTGGGCACCCAAACCAACACCATGAGATAATAGCCGGCAACCGTCACCATGCTGCTCCTTGCAAACACAGTCCCACCTTCCTCCCTGTTCTGAGAAACACAGGTCCGAGGGAAGCCTTGTGCTATTTCAGCACGCTCGCTTTCAGAGCAAAGGTTACATAAATGAGCGCTGCCAGACCCTCCAAATGTGGAGAAAAGCCGAGCAAAGGGGTAGAAACCCGGAGCGCAGAGCGGCAGGGGGAGCTCCAGCCCGCCCGTGGACAGCAGCGAGGGGACACCGCAGAAAAACAACCTCCCCCAGATCCCTGCTCCCCACCAGCTGCCATGTCACTGAGGAAATATGTGACTAAGCCCAATTAAATGTTTAGTCTGAGGCCGGAAGATGATAGCGGTAGAGACGGCGTGGACCGCGCTTTCTCTGCGTTATCGGACCGACCCCGCCAGCCCGGGGGTGCGTTTGCAGCGCTGAGCTGTTCCCAGGCCCCGAAAGGCGGCTCCCGATTCATAGAAAGCTCCGGCTTATAAAAATGTCACTGCTGCAGTAATTGCAATTTGGTTATTGTCTCCAACATTTCAGCTGGGTTTGCAAATTCTGGGGCCGAGTCCTGCTGCCTGGCCCCTTTAACGGGCTGCTCCGGCTGTTGTGTTTTTTCTTTTTTTCTTTTTTTCTTTCTTTCTTTTTTTTTTTTTTTTTTTTAAGGAAAAAAAAAGGGGAAATAGTGTTTGTAAAAGTTAGTGCTAAAGGGGCAGGGGATCATAGGTCCCCAGGGTTGAGTAAACGAGTCTGCAGAAAGAATCAGTTCTTCTAACTAGCACACATTAAGCAGACATAAAGAATTTACCAATGAAAATTTTGGACTAAGTATGTATTTAATAACTCCCTGATGTTGCTACAGAGACTCCTCCTTTGAAGAGCTCAGTGGGGTTTTGAACGGAGGATAACTCTTACCCCCATGCAAAAACTTTTTTAAAAAAAGGAAAAGTTTTACATTTATTTTTAACCTAAGCAGCACACCCTATTCTTCCAGTTTTAAAAGAACTCCTAAAAGCTTTAGCTAAGCAAATGCAGAGCAAAAGAAACTAAATAAAGCAAGTCTAGACTTAAAATTCGATCAGAAACATATGGGAGCTCTTCAAGCATTTGCCTTTTGAGAAGTGCTATCGCTCCCCACACAGAGTCCACAAAATATGCTTTCAGTAAAGCATGGCTGTAATTACCAGGGGAGGCCCCACTCGGAGAAGATGGCTTCTCTTCTCGGAGCACAGCTAACGCGCTTCTAAATAAAAGGCTTTCATTTCCACTTACATTTTACATTCTTGTTTGCTTGTGACCACTGGAGAACACTTGTAGAAGGCATGCACATAACTATGTTTTAGAATACGTCCTATAGATCTGAAATTGTAAACAAAAGTCGATTTTTCTCTCCCTTTTCCACGATCTTGGTTTCCCTAGAATGCAGCCCTCTCAGAGTACCCCAATACGTGACATTGTCTCTGCAGAATTTAATGAGAAAATATTTAAACTAAATCCCTAAGCAGCTTCAAGTCTGACTGCAGGCAGATTTTATTTTAGGTGACAATACAAACCTGGATGTGAGGCACACAGTAAGGGGATGAAAGAGTTTCTTGTTTGGGTGCTTATTTAGAGAGACCGAGTAGCTCGCTTGTTCTTGGGACAGTTATAATGCCTTGACTGATTTTATTTTTATACTGTTTTCTTTGTTTCAGTAAGATCCTGAGAGACCTACACAGATTAGCCTATAGTTCTCCCAGTTCTTACATCAACCTATATAACTCTCAAAATGGTACCTTTATATGACCTCCATCAGCCTCTGGATTTGGAAGAAAATCCAAAGCAGAGGTGAAACTACTGTAGCCATCACGGTTGAAGAACAGAGTCAAGCCATGGTTGGTAGGCTAGGTAATTAGTTAGTCTACAGTCTATGCATACTTAAAACTCCTTCTGGCCTACAGCAGATGCAGCATGGCTACTGCAGAGTCTCCCAAACATCAGCTTGGGAGAAAAGATATTCAGTAGAAGTAGGAAAACCAATAGGGGGAAAGGCATTTGATACTAGTGACACAGGTCATAAGGAAGTAGAAAAAGCAGTAAAAGGATGATAACATTAAGAGGAGTAAAGCAGGAATCACAGAGAAGAATCAGGAGATGATGGTGATTATGGAAGAAATGAGAAACAGCACTCAGTAGTGATGAAAGGAAAAAGTAGATGGGGAGTATCTGTCTGAGATGGTCCCTTACCCCAACATAGTGGTCCAAGAAAGTGGAAATTTCTTAGATTTGTTTCTGTACTGAAAAACGTCATTTTGACATTAAATGTCTCTTGTTAGCATGCCCACAGGATTGCTATCAGAGGGCATGTCAGGAACAGAAGCCCTGAGGCACACAGCGCAGTGTTTGAGGACACATGCCAGGTCTGAAGTAGCTCTCCAGCTGAACACATATGTAACTGGGCTCCACGAATGCATAGAGGGTGTGTTGTGACTGTACTGCCAGATATGTGCACATACATATATATACATACAGCTGAACCTCACTATTTCAAATGATCCAGCTGCACTATATTCTGTCAATGGAAGAAGTTTTGTGTTAAGTATAAGCAAGTTGAAGTTTTTAGATGATGCTGTTTTATCTAAAGTCTATTTCTTTTAAGTGAAAGAAACAAAAGAGCAAATGGGAAGAATGTTTCCTTCCACTACCCACCACTACACTGCAGCAATGTAAATCTCCATTAATTCAAATGTTAATACTGTTCCAAAGCATTAGGGTCACTGAGGTTCCCCTGTGTGTGATTTAACTTAATACAGATACTCCCTTCAGAGGCCAAGAGGTCCAAAATATGATGCTCCACCAGATTAATTTATTATTTGCAACTCAAGCTACATTTTCTATATGATCACCGTAAATTAACATCTATCACATACATATTTGTATGTTTATGTGGGTGTTGCATTTTCAAATTATTCATTTCAGGGAATTAATGTGTCATATGGAAAACTCAGCTTGAATAAACAAAAAAATTAATCCAATGGAGCAAAACCAAGAAAGACTATTATCTTAACAAACTATGAGGTCTTGTTTGCCCTTCAGCAGGGAACATGTCAAGTAAGCAAGCGTGCAACACGTTAGTGGAGGACTGTCCCAGCCCTTCAGAAACCCTCTGTCAGGATGGTCAAGATTATCAAAACTGTCTGTGGAAGAAGAAAGTTAGGAGTGTTGAGTGATACATTCACAATATTGCTCTACATTCCTCTGTCCACAGCAGAAGATGACAACGGAAGGGCCACAAAATCAGCAGGAGGAACATCTTACCTTTGCATAGTAGCTCAAGTCTTGCCTGCTGGTCTGTGTTCAGCTGTACTGTTTGGCATCAACGCGAATCACGTACCCTGTCTTTGAACATCACATCTACTTCTGCCCACTCTGTTCTCCCTTCCTACTCACCTTTGACCTTCCTCTGCCTTTTTGTTTCTGTCTTCTTTACTTACCTTGGTGCGAGAAAGGGAACAAACATCCTGGTTGTCACCTCCAGCTGGAGTTGCACCTCTTCTTGTCCATGATGACGACTAACATGATTATCAGTGTCACTGTTGTTAATGTAGCCATTGAGTGCCCTCATTCACTAATGATCCAATACAGCTTGCAAGAGACAGAAGAGTTTCAGAGAGAGCCTTTCAAGATGCCTATAGGTTCAGGAGGTTCACATCATCACTGTTTTCTCTCTATTTACTGTCATTGTTTTCTCTTCTAGCATAAGGAACGCTAGAAATGCACTGTTATTCTGCCCACTCAGACAAGGCAAGAAATTTTCTGCTTAACACCCTGTTATTAAACTACTTTGAGATTAAACAGTTACTGGGGACAAAACACATCTTCAGGTTCTTGTATTTCTGGCAAACAATGTTTGCTACTGTTTGATTCTCCTTTTTCAAGTTGAGAGATGCTAAAAATAAAAGCCACTTCCTTCTACTAACAGTATCTTGAGAGAGAAAAGGCTAAGGAAGAAGAAAAAAAAAAAGCCTTTACTGAAAATACCTAACAGAATAAATTACTTATTAATTCAGTTCACCAGCTGACACTCCCAAAGCAGGCTTCAGCTGTGTTTGAGGATTGCATTCACATCATCATCTTTATCCAGAATCACTTCTTTTGACTCTTTTCAGGTTCATTCCTTTTCTGTCTTCTTCTCTTCCATAATTTTTACTTAGCCTTCCCCATCACATGGTCTACATTAAGAGTAATGATGAGCCATTTCCCAGAGTGATCCACTTTGCTAAACTTTGAAAGTAACTTGCAACAGTCCCAATAAAACAGATCTCTCCTAGTTCACCTTTTTTAAAAACAGGTTTTTGTTGAATAATGCAGGAGCAAGTAGCTCAGGAACAATACTAAAGATGATCAAAAGTACCTGAGACACAACGAATAAGATCAAACCTAAGCCCTGTGTAAATCAAGTGACTCTTCAAATACATTTGTTCAACTGTCATAGTGTATTGTCTTTCAGAAAATTTCTAGACCACTGAAGATATGGAGAGCCTGCCTCTGGCTGATGAAAGGAGATGCTGATGGGAGTTAGAGTCAGTGCCAGCAGATACAGGACCTAGGCTGCAATGTCTGACATCCCATGAACTCTGATTTACTTGATCTTCAGGACAGTCATGTGGAGGATAGGTATGTGAAGGAAGGTAGTGAAGAAAATCCTCTCGTTAGTCTAGAAGAAAGCCATCCTCTTAGGGACAGCAATCAGTGAAGCTCCTGAAGCAGAAGTGGAGACCCTCCTGTATCCCTCATGGCATTACAGTTCAGGCAGCTGAAGAATAAGTTCTGTGCAAATGCCATTCTAAAGTTCTTTTAAGATCAGTATTGCAGAATTATAACGAAACCACAAGAGTTGTTGTATTGTGATTTTTTACATGTTTTTAAAACCTGATGTGACCTGCTTTCTGGCAAATCCCTCCAATATTTATCATCTTTCAGAATGCTACTTCTTTCCTTGCTTCTGTTAAGACTGAAGCTGCAAGATGACCCCAGGTAAGATGACCAGTATTCCTCAACTGATTTAGCACATGGCAGTATGACTACCTTAAGCTGTGGACCTAGAGATTCTAATGGTTGTCCCAGGCACTGACACCAGGCTGCTGTTATGAAAGATTGCCAAATATTGCATTTTATGGTTTGAAAACTGGATGGAAAAACTTTAAAAGAAGACAAAAATGCAAGGAGCAGGAGACAGATTTACAAAGGTGTCAGAGACAGGATGAGTTGGAAAAAAACCAAGACAAGACGGTGAGAAGGAAAGGAGTGAATACATGGAGAAGGGAGACAAATGTACCGAGCAGGAAACCAAGTGAAGGGAGAAGGTGAAAGAGGAAGAAAACAGGATGGTTAAGAAAGGGACAACAAGGGAAGGGTAGAAGAAAGAGAAAACAAAATAGTGATGAAGGAGCCAGTGGAGGAGGGGAGAAAGCAGAGCTCCTTCCTAAGAGATAAGGGAAAATAAACGGAGTCTCCTGCTCAAAGCAGCCAGCAGCAAAAGGAGCATATTACTCAGTGTGCATTACAACAAGAAATGTAAATTAAATGGGTAACAAATTAGACAGTGGTGTCTTCCCCCAGAGCAGAAATCACAGAATGAATAACTCCCATAAGTCTTGTGATTTTGGGGCCCTTAGACAGGCAGAAATGGAAACATCCTGACTACAGAAGAGCAGTATCCCCTCCCGTGATGGGCTCTAGCTTTGCATCACCCATGTAACTGTATATTCTTTGGATCACAGACATGAAATGAAGAATTAAATTAGTTATTCTGTGGCTTTCTTTTTCCCCTTAAATTTAGCAGGATTTTGAAATTTCTTCAGATAACACTTTTGTCTCTTTGCTTGCATGAAACACTCCTAATTGCTGATTATACTTTTTGAATATAACCTTCACTGAAGATCCATTCAGAGGACAAATGCTACTGCTGGACAGAGCTGTGCTCTCCTACTTGGTTGTTCAGATTGAGATAATCCATCTCAGCATGCAAATGCTTTGAGGTGGGCACTTACTCATCCTGCTGGCAAGGCTGGATGCAATGGCTATTTGATTATTATTCATATTCCATTAAAAAATACACTAGAAAGCTTTTAAGGCCGCAAGGTAAAACTTTCAGAAGAGGGAAGATTCCCAAGCTAAGGCAGGATAACTTTTCTGGCCTCTATGCCTATGCACTAAGACAGATTTTAATCAGAGGATCACGTGCAATTTTTGCAAGGGATCCCTTTACCATTCAATGCACGGAGTTAGATGTTACATTAAATCTTTACAAAGAACTCTAATCCATAAAAATCCATCACAGAAAACTTACTTAATGGTTGATATTTGGCAATCGAAGAGCTGAGTACAGAGTCTGTGGACCAGGATACATCAGGCAGTGATGCTTTCTGCAGCATTTCTGACTTTGTCTGTAATTTTCTAACTGTATTTACTGTCAAGTATAAGTACTTTTTTGTGTTGGGTTGGCAGAAATATGTAATGATGACTTACAGTGTAGATTAGTTACAAACACAACAGGTCATGTAATTAGCCTCAGTGGCATAATAAAATGTAGCTGCATAGCAGCCATCACCTCTTCCATGCTGGCTGGCTGTGGGCTGAATAAATTGTAGGTACACAGTTGAAAGAGGTGGTAGGAACATGTTCATGAACAGCATGATGTGAATTCTTCTCCCCCCTTGAGAATAGAAAAATAACTGTTTCTCACTTATAAAGACCATCCTCAGCCCCCAAGGACTGAGCACCAGCATGCCTGAGGGTGAGACACATGCTTCAGAGCATTTATGTTCCTGTTTGCTTGAGGAGACAGCCCAGCCCTTCAAGACCTGTTTAACCAGGTCCCAGGGTTAACATCATGCAGGATCATGTATGTTTTAATGGCAAAGTGGCTAACGATCTCCTGTACTTCATTGGGAAAGCCTTCATGAATCCACAGTAGCATTGTAGAGCAGGACACAGAGAGAAAAGGGGAGCACCCTCCCACCCCCACTAACACCATGGGCTCTGCTGCCAGGAGACAAACATTTCCAATTCAATTGTTTTCCTTGTGGCAAAGCTGACATTCCCATTCAGGGCATTTAAAAGCCATAAATCAAAGCATCCACAGTAGAACTAAAATTGGTCAAGATCAGGCTTTCCAAAGAGGCAGGCAAGCACACATCATGGTAAACTAAAGTGGCTCTAGTGCCTGGTTAAAGCCATCTTACCAAGGCGAGTGCACAGCTGCATTTTCTTTCAAAATACTACTGCAGCCTTTTAAGAGAGAAGGGGAATAATCTAAATTCTGGCAGCGGGGAATATTTCACAAATCATATATGCTTTGGCATCAAGCCCTTAAAGCCAGGGGCCTTTACTCACAGGCTTTTGCTGGGAGAGATCCACCCACCTCAAGTGGGATTAATTAAAAGAGGCATGTATCATGCAAATAGTTTCTGTTTCCTTACAGAAATATTCAGAGCACATAACCCAAACCAGCTTTAGAATCAGAGTGAAGCAAGGAAGAAAATTATTTCCTGCTCCCCTAACCCTTTTCCTTTCCCTGTACAGTAAGCGACAAACAGTGAGAAAATGCCGAGAGCTCACAATTTCTGTACAATTCCTTTGATTAAATGCTAATAAAATTGAGGAAAAAAGTGGTTTTTTTAAAGGCAGGGCTTGTATCTCACTATAAGGTGGCCAGTTCTCCAAACCAAATGTGTGCTCAGCCGTTCATTCGAAAAGGACAATCCAAATCTTACCCCTGGAAATGATCTTTTTATCTTAAGGCAGAAGAGGAGAAAACAGAAAGCTTGTATTTCTTTGGCACGTCAGGATTTTCAGCTCCATGTGACAGTGATGGGAGCTGCAACAAAAAGCTCCTTTGGAAAGCTGGATGAACTTTAAAAACACAGCTTTCTTCTCAGGAAGCTAAACTATTTCCCTAGATATGAAAGATCCTGACACTTCAAGGAAACAGTGCAGAAAATGGTGGTAAAGCAGTCAGAGCACAGAGCCCCAGTTGAAAAATAAGTCACAGAGAAAGCTCAAGTTTCCACAAGAACTCTTCCTCAAAACTATTTTTTTTTCCCCTTTTAATATCTCAGACCCATTTTCTGAGTCAATTTCCTATGATCCTGCGAAGGCTGTTATTAAAACCAGACCAAGCGTAGCAGAAATTCCGGGGCTCAAAAGAAATGTTTAATAGGCGCAGGAGCTGGCCACACTGTCCCCCTCAGGTGATTTCCCTTGCAGCCCCTTCCCTGGGATTTCCTCTCTCGGAGTTTAGTCAGCAGGAGAAACCTGAAGTTTCAGCAAAATGGCAAACCCTTCCTTCATTCTTAAGCAGCTGAAATTTTTTTTTTATGTCTGAGGCTTTCAAAGCTCCAAAAAAGACATCTAGGATCCAGTCCAGAAGATGTGTATTGCAGATATTTTTTCCACAAAAATGTCAGGCAGTCATACATTCAATTATATATCCAGCTACAGCATTTGAAAAACACTGACCTCCTTTATCAGCCACTGCTTCACATGCCACCGGGGCAGTCACAAATTGAGTTGTTCATGAGCTGCTTACCCAAGTGTCTTTTATGTGCTAGAAAACTCCTTTCTGGTCTCCATCCCACTTATCACTTTAGCATCAAAAAGATTATCATCAGACATGCTCTTGGCAAGACACCTCAGGAAAGGAGCGTTCATGCACATCACAGCCAGGCAGGACAAAGGAGACATGCTCATGTGCAAGGCAAGGTGAGAGAAGCCAGGGAGCGATGGTTCTCTCCAGTAGTACAACTGACAACACACTGGACCTCGTTTCTGTGTCTACTATGGGATTTATCCTCTGATGGCACAGGAGAAACACTGGGGCCAGTACTCTTCAGCTCAGCCCCAGGCTCTCCCAGTGAGAGGGCCCTGCTTGGACAACTTCCCTTTCAGCACCAAGTTTAGTACCCAGAAAGTTCTCCCCAGTGGTCCTACTGCAAAGCTACGGGATATCCGCTAAAAGTGCATTTCATGGTTGGGCACTGATGCAACAACGCCCTTTTCATAGCAAATATATAAAAATACTTCATTCCTTTGATATACTTCATTTATTTAGTCTTCATATTATAAAGTGTAATTATATTAGAAACACTGAGCCTCAAATTTAAGTTACTGACAGCTACAACAGATATCACCTATTTAAAATAAAGTTTTTCTCCAAATGTTCTCTTCTCAATTACCATTTCTAAAAACGAAAATGTGCACATTTTCTTTTTGTTTCTATAACTGGCAGTTTTTTTCAAACTGTGACTAATTTTAATGTAACAGTTAATTTATTAAAAATGGAGAAACCCCTTTGTTCCAACACTGCTTGATCTGCTCATGCTTCTCATAATTTAGGAAGTTATCGAAGCCCTCGGAATCAGAGGCTTTCATATATATACATATATGAGTGATTATGTGTATTATGTCATTGTGAAAATAAATATTAAGGACATTTTATTCATATAACTTATATAAAATAGCAGTTAAAAGCAAAACACAAAATTATAAAATATGCAAAGCTTCTTTAAGAAGTACTGATAAATGCAAAGCTTTGGGAAGGAAAGGAGACGATGCGGTGCTGAAAATCTTGTTCCTTAACTTATTGTTTTGTACCGTTTGATCTACACTTTTAGACAACTACAGACTCTTTTCAACTGGCTGTAAACTACTTGCCTTGTGGAATAAGAATCAGACTCCTATCAGTTTGCTCCACTGGTCCTATGAGGTTTGTTCTTGTTCTCTCCCAGAAGAGCCAATAATTCCTCTGGTGAGGAATCAGAATGGCAGAAGTGAGGAGCTGCACCCCTACCCCTCTCCTGGTGGAGGGGTAGATGACCTCTCTCTGTGAACCCCAAAGTGGGTACAACACAACAAGAACAGGGGTTCTTAATGTAAGAAAATCTGGTGTCTTCAAATTGACTGACTGGAATGTTGGGGTTTTCTTAATGAAAAAGTTTTATTTCTTTTCAAAAAGTCATATTTGTGCTAAAATTTGTTCCTCAAAAGACCTTTGACTCTCTGCCGGGACTGCCCAATTTTGCTTTGTTACAAGACTTATACAGCAACGGTTCTCGACTTCCTGACGCAGTGCAGAATCTGTCTGTTATGCTAGAGGGAGAGAACCATGCCCACCACCAGGAAAATTAGACATCTTACCTTGGGACGCTGGGAGGAGCCCGGGTTGGCCGAGAGGGAACCTGGGGAGGTCCTCCAAGGGCTTCACCACCACTTGGAAATGGAGGCAATGGTCCTGGGCGGAATGGGACTGGGGGAGCCCCTGACTGGGGACCTGGAGATGGGATTGCAGGAGCTGGTCCTCGGCCAGATAAAGGTCTGGTTGGGGGATTGTTTAATGTAGGCCTCCTCTGAGTTGAGGGACTTGGAGGAGGTGATCTGTTGAAATATCAGAGATGTAAGAAGTTCAGTAAGGTGAGGTTTTGTGGTTTTTGTTTTGTTTCGGTTTTTATTTTTTATGTTATTATTTTTTAATTTTTAAACAAAAATAAACCCCTTTTTTATGTCTAAGACAGTTTTTTTCCTTGGCATTTTCCTTTGCTGTCAGTGTCAGAGCATCACATCTATTTAAGTCTCACACTTGCCTTTCCCACAGATAGAATGCCTTATGATAGAAGGAAACATACAATAAAAGAGGTAAATCTAATAGGTTTTAATATTGAGAGTTCTAATGATGGTCTGTTAAGTGGGTTTTCTAGGACATGGAGCCTGATGCGCTGAAGTTTTATAACAGCTTGCAAGAAGAGGCCATTTGGATACACAACTGGGGTGACAGAAGTGGCTGCTATCTGAAGCATCAGACAAGCGATAAAGCCACTGGATGGTCTTGTACAAGGCAAATATCCTGTCTGGTGTTCACATACATATCCACAGAACATGTATATGTGGGGAAAACGTTGTGATTTCCCTCACAAACATCATTAAAGACCTGGAGGAGTTTCTGCCCAAAAAGACAGGTAGGGTGGGAGCTGCTGATACTGACAATGTCTGCCTGTCCTAAATTTAATTGCAATACAGATTACAATACAGATTGCAAGAAGAGGATCCTTACCTGCGGGCGTGCTGAAGCCACGAGTCATCTACAGGAGGGGGTGCAGGGGTGGAGACAGTGCTAGTGCTGATATCGCCGATGATGGCAAGGGCTTCCTTTAGTGCCTGGTACATACGGAGCATTTCATCTCGCCTCTGCGCCTGTTCAGCCGACTCCTCCATTAGAGTGTTTTGGTCCTCAGAAGAATACAAGTGAGCCAGGAGCTCTGCGTTGATAAATTCTTTCACCTATTTCATCAGACCAAAAAAAACCAAACCAAAAACCCCTCACCAAACAAATAAACAAACAAAAAACTATTGAAAATACAATGGTGAAGAACAGTGAAGAGATCCACAGAACCAGGAGACAGACATATTTAAAATTAATCCATTTCTCCTACTGCTTTATTTACATCAATTCTACTGGTCATGCAGTTTTGGTTACGTCAGATCAGGGGATAAAAAATGCTGAACTCGGATGTAGCTGACAGTGCAGCAGCCTGAGGTCCAGCTGTGGCCCAAGGAAAGGCTGGCACACACAGCTGGGCAGAGCAGCTGGAAAAGGACAACTGGCCCTTCCAGCAGCTGCCCGCATGCAGATGGGCTTAACACAATTACAAAGCCACATTCTGAGACAAGAATCCACACGTGAAGATAAGATGGTGTGCAGTCACTCCACAATGCACTTTTTTCAGTCTGTCTTTGAAACACTGGACATGGTTGGAGTTAACAGTGATCTATGTCTCTAAGGTGACACTGATGTTTACAGTTCATTTCAAACAGGCTTCCCAACAGCTCCCAGGAGTCAGCTGGCATTTTGGTCCAGTTCTAAAGGGCTGAGAGGTAAATGGCCATCATTTGCAAAACCATCAGATACTAAATTCCTCCGGGAATGAGAATTTTCAGGTTTTATAGCATCTCTGTCACTTATTTTCTCAGTAACAATTTACCCTACTGTAGGCAGTGTCTTTCATCTCCAAAAACTTTGTCAGGTTCTAAATATCCCATCCACACACATTCAAACTGAAGGGAGAAGTCTCCAAGTAATCTAATTTACTATACTGATTTCCTGCTATGCCTGCCTTGGTTATAGAAACCTGGGCTACATTAGGAGAGATAAAAAGCTAGAGGTACTCTGATTAAATAAGACTGTGGTAAATAGACCAACTGCTGACCTACTAAATCCTTGCATTTGAGACTTTGGTTGCCGTTCTGATCTATTTCTCATCTGGCTTTTTGCTCTATAAAGCTTTTTTGAGCTGGAGATTCTAACAATAATACATTCCCAAGATTCTGATTACATAAACCTGAGCTCTGTTTGCATATGGGTTTGTGCTCGTTTAGCAATGTTGATTTAAATCCTGAGAGTTAGACCAAGGTAAAACTTTTGTTCACATGAGGTCAGTGAGAGCAGTCGAACTGCATGGGACCCTTTATGGTCACCTCGCCATGAAAAGAAGGCCAGGACAGATCTTATAGAGAAACAAAACCATATTGCCTGGGCTTGACTGTCATTTCCCATTCACGTATGACAGGAGATGCACAAATTCTTAGCAAAGCCTGCAAAAATTTTCCATGAGTCTCATGCTGTTTTCCAGTAGATGGTACTGATCAAGAGCCAGAGTACACTACTTTCCTCATGATTGCCAAAAGCTCCACATTAAAAACAGATATCATAGTTAAACAGCATCACATTCAACTCCATGAAATGAGCATTTTAATGGCATCACTTCAAAAAAAGAAGAAGTAGTCCTAAAATTAGATTAAGGCCAGAGCTGATTGTAAAAGCATTGTTAAACCACAAGTATCTGTTTGAAAAAAATCAGCCTGTGACAATTATCATGAGAGATCCCTGCCTGCCACTAGCAGGAGACTCAAGCAACTCCCTGAACTCTTCTGGAAGGGGAGGACTGCTGTGTTAGGGATGGTTCTTGGATCAACCTCCTTCCTTCTGCAAACAGATGTACTGCACTAGACAGAGGAAGATCTTCCACAATAGCCACTTTCTCCAGCTTGGAAAAGGAAGGGAAAGTGACACTTACTCATGCCTTTGCTACTTTCTAGAAAACAGAAAGACTCACAGGAATGGTTTACAACATTTTCCTTCACAGACATCAGACCCATGGCCAAATCTGAACCATAGGAAGCATCTGAAACGCCAGTGCCACAAAGCCTGCCCCGTCACTCCAAAGTGGGGTAAGATAGGCTTGCAACTTCATCAGCAGGCAGACTACAACGTACATCACCGCCTCAAATGCAAACACAATCCATTCCTTAACCTTAAGTTTGGTAGTGACAAGTACTTTGGAGTTTTTCTACTCAGCTGAGATTAATATTAGCAGTATACACTGTCTACCGTAAGACCACCCCTCTTGCATAATCTGTGATACGTAGACACCATGAAACACAACTTCCGAAATGTGTGTTGTGTTTGTGCGTGTTTGAATTGCTAATGGTAACTCAATGCAGTTCTGTGTGGTAAATGCATTTTCTTTTAAGGTAATCAACATCCACCCTAAGGGAAGAATAAGGGATGCATTTGGAATCCAACAATCTAGGCTTAGGCCTCAAAATATGCTTAGGGACAGCATCTAATTATTTTCTGTACACTGAGTTTGAATCTGATACTTCTCTTGAACTGTAAGTGCTCATTTACAGGCCCACAAAGTGGAATGGAAGTTCTAGGAGGACTTGAGAGCTTACAATTGTCATGGAAACAAACTCCTTGGGATCAGTTTGTTTCCAGAGTTTTGGAGGTAATATGATGGGGCAGCAGAAAGTATGGAATATGCTCATTAAGAGGGATGGAAGGTGTTTTCATTTAACTCCTGGTGGATGGGTTGGACTTCTGAAGACTCCAGCGAACACACACACTACTTAAAAGGACCCACTTTCCACCATAGCTCCACTGCTTTCCAGGTCTTTCCACAACCTTTTGGTGTGGCTCAGCAGTCTTAATTCAAGCATTTCTTTCTCTTTTTAATAGTATTGATTTTTAAAAATTGATATTTTAGCTATTGTTTTTAATATGGTATTTTACTGCCTATGCTGCATAGAAACAAGCACATTAATGTTTCTAGTCTCGCTTTTCACAGTCCTTGAAAACATTTTGATTCTTTGCCACAAATTTAAATTCTCGGTGTGTAGGTCTTAGCTCACTAGCAAGCCCAAACACAGCTATGGACTATGGTTCAATGGAAAGGTAGACAATGTTGTATGTATGTTGCTTCTCTGTGCCATGGTCAGCCAGCATGGCAGACTTTACCAATCTAACAGCTGATGAGATTGAAAGTACAAAATATTAAAGTATTCTGCTTCTGAGTAAAGCACTCACTTCAGAGACCCTTAAACTGTTCCACATGAGGAGATAAGTGGCAGAAAATTTATTGCAACTTTTCAAAAGGAACTGCTCACCAAACTGCAGTTTATGAAATGAGAACTAAACCCTAGCTCTTTCAAAAAGGCACTGAAGTTGCACTAAGTTGAAGGAGCAATTTGCTAGCTGTGATATGGAAAGAGCAGAGGGGACATGGTCACCTTATAAATTCAAAAACATGGCTGATTTCAGGAAAAAAAAAGGCAGTTCCACTGTTTCCATGCTCTTTTGTAAAAACTCACCCATGACTGGAGCATTATTTGGAGCCTGACTCCCCTAAACCTGAAGACGTTAATGGAATATCTCTTGCTTCATGCAAAATTTCTGCTCATATTATTCGCACCAGGAAATCCCGTTGAAATTTCCTGTCCAACCACCTAACTTTTAAGTGCAACACAAATTCCACAGGACTAATGAAATCCATCAGACTAAGGCTAGAGGTGGCTCTGAGTCAAAAGTAAATCATGGAATCACAGAATGGTTTGGGTTGGAAGGGACCTTAAAGATCATCCATTTCCAACCCCCCTGCTGTGGACAGGGCTGCCAACCACTAGATCAGGCTGCCCAGGGCCTCATCCAACCTGGCATTGAATGCCTCCAGGGATGGGGCATCCACAGCTTCTCTGGGCAACCTGTTCCAGTGCCTCACCACCCTCTGGGTGAAATGCTACTTTCTAAACAGATTTGCCTCATAACATATTGTACTTCAAAAACTGATTGGTTTGATGACCTCAGAGAAAAGGTGCTACCCATAACTAACAGGAGTTGTGCTCTCCATTGTTAATTTATATGGCAGCAGTGGCACTAATATTAAGCTTAGTTTTCAACAAGGTCCATTCCAAACTCTGTCAGGAAGCAGGGGCTGAGATACCAGCACCGTGGACAAAAATGATATCTCAAAGTCATTTCTTTAACCAAATAATCTTCAGATCTAAGAAAGACACGCACAATAAATCAAATAACCACATCTGCTTATCATAACAACAGGGTCCAAGGCTTCTATATTTATTCCTTGAAAATGGTAAACTGAAAATGTAAAGAAATCCAAATAAAATAAGAACTGCTTTAAGAAGCCATGACAAAGGGCTACAGATTGAAAATCAAGGAACCACAACTCTGCTCTGCTGCTCTCACAGACCATCTAGATGGAGCTCCCAACTCCCTTTTCCTGTTATATCAAAATCAAGTCAGAAAAATAATTTTAAAATTTCCCTTATTTACCTTTAAATAATAAATTATATTCTGATTAAGATGTAAATTAATTCAATCTAGCATTTTGGAGTAAGCACTCAAGGCAGAATGCCAGCCTTTCAGAAGGCTGCAGAACTTCATGGAATATTTTGTCTACGAGTGTGGCATTCACGGGAGCATGTTCTGCTCTTGAGTACATGCTGGTGTTGCTGCTATATTCAAGAGGTGTGTTTATATCAGCATAAGAGATTTGACAGAGAGATGTTAAAAAAATTTAGAGCCCTGCCCATTACTTACATTATTGATCATAAGATGCATGATTGTTTTTGGTATCAAATCTCGGATACATTTGTTGATAATAGACATGTAGGAGTCCACAAGATTTCGAATTGTCTCCACCTGTCTCTCCAGCTGAGGGTCCATTGAAAAATTGTCTGCTTGGCCATTTTCATCGTTTTCAGTCTACACAGAAGAAAAAAAAGAAAAGTCAAGTCTTTCAGACTGCAGTAAACTGGAAATATATTGGGGGAAAACCTGGACTTACACTGTAGTAATCCAGCAATGTAACTCATACAAAGAATGTCTGTAGGATAAATATGAAGTACTGGCCTGTTTAACATGAGTGTTTAACATCATGAAATCTGGACTTTTAGAAGTTAATGCAATATGAGATGCAAGACCCTTTTCACAAAGTATGTTATATATTTCCACATAAATTTGTAATTTTATATTAAAGAAAGTTTTCAAAGACGCATGAAACTCAAAGAAATTATCTCAGATCACTTCTTGCAATACTTATTATCAAATCTTTTACCATACACATTCAGCCAGCCAGACCCATGCAAGAAAGCAGCATCGTAAATCTGGATTTTGAATTTTACCCTCCCATGGGGAGAAAACATCCTTGTTATTTAAGGCTGACTCAGTCGTGATAAATTCTGCAGTTCAGCCTCAGACTTGTTAGATGTGAATAGCACCTATACAAACAAAGGATTTATGAAGGATAACAACAAAAGCATCATTGGTTCTAGTACTCAAGGCTCAGCATAACATAGGCTGGATTATATATTAGAGATCTCCTTTTCATTGGACAGAATATAACTTCTTTGTATGTAAACAGCTGACCTAATTAAAGAAAATACCAGGAACTTTAACTGGAAGCTTAAAGGTAGGTACTTTGCTTTGGTCTGGCCTGTAGAAATATAAGAAAATCTAAAAAAAAGAATAATAGCTTTTTGGCAAAAATCAAACTGCTTTCTGAGGCCCAAAGATGCCAGAAGAATGGCATTTCAACATGGAAATTACAAAGAACACTGTCCTTTCCCCAACCTCTGACATATAATACTCTCCGAAAACAACCACCAAAGCCATACGAGCATGAACTATAAAATCTAAACCTGTTCTGTTGGGTTCTGTTGGTAACTAGAAACCCAATATAAAGAAACATAAATTATTTGCACAAAGTTAATAACCCAATAACGAGAACTAGTTATATACCAGCCAGATCCCCATCAGCACGACTCCATTTACAATACAGCACTTAGCTAAAATTTACACACCACTAGCGCTTTACAGATTCCCTGAGCAGTTGAAATTGGTAGCTAACCCATTAGTGAAAGATCATTAGAGCTAGATATGCAAACATGTCAGCAAAGCGGCTTCTCCTTGCACAAAATCCATTCTTGTTGAGCCACAAAAAGATTCCCAGTTTCATCTCCTAACACAGGGTCTGCTTCTGCTCATGCAGCACTGGCAAGTAGACCACTTCATATTTACTCCTTCCTTATAAACCATGCCTTGGTCAGTCCAGTTTAAACAAAACTCTGATGGTCGTGGTTTGTTAAGTCAGTTTTGTTAAGAAATAAGATCCAATGTACCACTTTGAAACATAACTAAATGTTTCTAAAATAAGTTTCAAAAGTTCAGATTGTTTTTAATTAAAGACGAATTACTGTAAAACCAGTTAATCTATGGACTTTAAAAATAATTAGCAGGGCTTCCTAAAAATCTTGTGACTGTGGAGGACACTGAAAGAGCTCTTGATGAAAATTGTGTTTTCAATTCTGTAACACCAGTAGACATACTACCCTATAAACTTTAATCATTTTGTTAATAAACTGCATATGCCAAAAAGTCACAGCATACACATTGAGTATTTTCCTTAGACTCCATGTTTGAAAAAGAAACTAGCTGTAATTTTCCCTGTAAAACAGCAAATAAATGGAAAATTATACATCTATCATATATCCACATATTTTAGCCAAGTAACTGTAGACCAAAAATGCCCCTTTCCCAGTTCTCCTGCATTTGACTTCTATTCTCTTTCCTTCCTTCTTTGCTGTCTGTATAAAGTACAGTTTGTCCATGTATTTTTTCTTCTTCTTCCCCTTTTTTTTTTTCCTCGCTGTTTAAATTATAGATTGCAGTAAGATTCTTAGCTGGCCAAGCAGCAAAGTGACAGATGTTTATCATTATCCTCATCAAGAGAATGTAAAGTAAAAATAGTAATTTGTCTCTGATCTTCAAGGCAAAGGGTAATAGTCTGCAAACATTTAACCTTTTATATACAGGCTCATAGGTGATATTTACAGAAAGTGCATAATACTTTGAGAGTCTGTCTCTTGCTTGAAACTGTAATAAAGCTGACTTCATACTGTTGATTTATTTTCTCTGAAATCAAAAAAGATCAACCTTTCATGAGTTTACAGTAATTTATTATGAAAGCTTCTAGCCATAGTATTCTTAATGACTTGATGTCTCAACTGAAGGCTTTTCATGCCAGAAACCATCCTGTTTGCATTGCATCATGCACACAGAAATCTGCTTCTAACAAATTTCTGTGCTCTACCAGTACACCTACAAGCATTCCCAGGCTTTCTTTTGTAAGCTGTCTCTGCCTTGTGCCAACAGCAGCATCTGAGAGTAGGGTTGCCTGGCAAAATTGGGCATCACAACAAGACAGAAGTGATGTAGATGCCCTATTCCATCTCCATGTCATCCTTTCAAAACAGCAGGTTTTCTCACTGAGCATCACGGTGACTCTAGCTGCAGTGCAAAGTACCCCTTGGCCCAAGTCCCTGCCACTCTGCATTCTAGAAAGGCTTTTGCAAGTCCATTGCAATGAATAAACCCAAACCAGAATATGTGAGAGAGCCCTGGCATCTCTCTGACCACTCTTGAATGGAATGTCCATGCTGAACAGAAAAGGAGAAGGAAGAAGCTGAAAACAGGTTTCTGTGCCTTCTTTGCCAGCAGCCAAGGCAGCCACAGTCCCCCTTTGGTGCTCCTCATCCTTGAGCCAGAACGTGCTAGTTCCAATAGCAAGTGTTAAGTAACAGCATATGAATCTGGGCTAAGATTTCATTCAGTTGACTCTTGCTTAATATTACTATTAATTGTTGACAGGAATGGAATATTATTACTTCAAATGAACACAACTGCAATTGCTTTAGGAACTTTTGTCAGTCTCCAAGAAAGAATCTATGGAAGAACCCAGAGTGATAAACACCAGGTACAGAAAATTAGACTCATCTTGGAAAACTCAAATTCAGAATATTTGATGAAAATACACCAAATCTACAGAGAAGCAATAGGTGAATGAAGACATGGACAAAGAGAAGGTAACATGGAAGCCGGGGTGGTTCTTTCATTTATGTACACATACACATTGCCACAGAGATAAGGTCCTTTTCTTCTACCTTCTCTGCCCTTTAGAAGAATGAAAATAATATCCATTCCTTGTGCTCTGCAAGCAGGTCTTACCTGTCTTTTATAAACTGCTTTGTGATCTGTGCATGGAAAGGTAAAAGTAAAGTAAAACACAAAGTATGCATCATTGCTACTCCTGTACAGTCCCTGTATTTACATGCCTTCTGTACTAATAATGTATTAAGGATTAACTAAAGTGTCATACAAGAGAAAACTAGAAGCTGCATGTGAAATCCAAACCACTAAAGCTAGTGAGAATTTTATTGCTGGCTGCAGTGAGAATAGGATTTCACCCTATACATGCATTTCTACCAGAAAAGTTATCAGTCTTCTGAAGACTGTAAACTGTGCTGCAAGAGGAATGATTTAGTGTGGTATAAAGGAATGTAGGCATCAGGAATTATGTGCAATTAAAAAAAAATAGGAATAGTGCCTCAGAATATCAGGATAATTTTCCTGATAGTGGGAATTATAAGCGTGTTGAAGAATGTCCCAAGAAAAATTCAGGAGAAGTGATTCCTTTTGAAACTCACTGCAAAACTGGTAACATACTGAAAAGAGTCCTGAGCTGGCCACACAGAGAGCGCAATACTTCTAATTTCCATGATTTCATTACATTCAGGGCAGCTGCCAGCATATTTAAGAATGTCTTGTATAACATTCCTGATGTCAGTTCCAAGAAGGAGCATTTGTCCAGCATTTTCATTGCAGCAGTGTATCAACCAATTTTCTGTAATCAAAAAGGCATTCTATTAAAAATGAGTGAGAGGAAGCAGAGTGGAAGGTGACTGACTGAAGGGTAAAAGTCAAAGCAGCAGCAAAGCAATGGTCTGTGTGCTAAGAAATAAGTCCATGGCTGCAGTGAGAGACCAATCATTTAAAAACTGCTTTCATATCTTTCATTTACAGATGCAAGCTCATAACAACAACCACCTGAAAATGAATTGTTCCCTCCAGACTGTATTTACATTTTAATTCACAGCTACTGAATATATAATCTATACTATCTATAATATTATATTATAATGTATATTATCTATTCCTGTCCAAGTGAGGTTTTTCTTTAATGCACCAACACTCAGCACACTGCAGTTGTCCTAAACCCCTGTGCCTTTTCCTAAATCTTTATAACTGATTCTTGATACTCTCTCTTCATTGCAGTTTGACGCTGTATATATAATTTAGCTAATATTCTCTCAGCTGTACATAGCGTGCCTTTTGCCAGAGGACTGCAGAAACCACATGATGGCTTCACACAGCGAGGTTTTCTTACTGGAAGGAACCACAAGTAAATGACAATACATTACTTTTGTGTATTTACAACAAAGCAAGCAGTAGAAAAAGAACATTTCCCGGGTAGCTTGGAAGCTGTCCTTTTCCCTCACAGAGGGTGACTTTGCCACTCTCTTCCATGCTTTCAGCATCTCCTGACTTTGTACTGCTGTTGCCTTTACCAAGCCACCCACAGGCTGCCCCTCACAGCTCCTATGCTTTCATTAGCAGCCTTGAACTGAGCTGGGCAGAGGTTATCATCGGCTTTCCCTTGCACACACCATCTCTCTCACTTCACACCCAGGCAGAAGAAAGATATAGCCTAACTCAATTTGATCCAAAAATATTTTAGTCTCTGGATTAGTTTAAACTATCGCTTACTTAGATTCTTCTTTGTGGTTACAGACATCGTATAGTACAGACCATTAGCTCAAAACCTTCTGCTGAATCCACATACTGCTCCCCAGATATTTACATAGCTT